TAGGCCCGATGCATGGGAGGAAGAGAGGTGAAATCACTCGAGCAACCTGAGGTCGACCGATCCAGCCATGGGACACCCTTCAAACTACTCCGGAGGGGATGGCGCAAGATCTCTAGGACGCCGCGGCAGAGATCCAGTCTGACGGTGGCCAGAACTGGAACAACAGCGAGCACCTCCCAATATCTACAAGGAAGCCGAGGGTCGCCAGATCTGAAACAAAGAAACTATACACGAAACATAAAGTAAAACAAACAACAAGAAAAACAGAAAAAAACCAAAAGGGGTCACCAGAAAAGGACCCAGAAACCGATAGACCCCGAAGGGTCATCGGAGGAAACCGAATAACCCCGAAGGGTCATCGGAGTAGGGAGCACATGCCGGCTCCAGCATGCTTGAGCGGCTGGGGAGCCCAGCGGCTCAAGCATCAAAACCTCGGAAGCTCGAAGGCTTCCGATCAAAACAACCGCTGCGCCGGAGAAAGAAGCAGAAGTAAGAGAGAAGGGAGAGGAAAGGGGGGGAGAGAGAGAAGAGATTTAACAAAAATGTAAGGACTTAATCAAGAATTTAGAGTAAGTTTGGGGGTTGAACCGTAGGGTTTTGCTAACAAATAAAAGCAAGCACAGGTCTGGCCATTTTATTTTTATTTTTATTTTATTGAGCTGTGGCAAAAGTTGGGTTATATTTTTAAGGAACCATTTGGTATAGTGGTTTTGGGGTAACGATTAGTGATTTTATCTAAATCGTTAAATATAAGTATTTGGTAAATTTATATATTTTGAAATCGTTACAAATAAAGTGTTTAGTAAAATTTTTATTTAGTGGCTTTAGACTAGTGGATTGCGGTTAGGTTCAAACCGCTAGTAGATTGAAAAAATTAGTTTATGGGCCTATTTGGTACAACAGTTAAAATTCAGCGGGTAGCGGATAATGGATAGCGGTACCAGGTAGCGGGTGGCGAGTGGCGGTTAGCAGATGGCGGATGGCAGATAGCGGAAAGTGGGCAGCGGATGGTAAATAGCGGATTCGATAAATATAACCGTTTGACTGTACAATAGTTAGCTGTTGTTATTTAACATTAAATAATTAATAAGGACATGTCTAAAAATAAATAAGTGTATTTTTTAAATATTTTTATTTATTATTATTAAAATTATTAATTTTATAAAAAAATAATAA